CCAATAGCCCAGTCGCAGAATTTGAACATACTACGTACTATCGTATTACGAAGTAAGAATAACGTACGGATCAGCGTCTTCTTTGTCGTTCTCAGCAAGCAAGCGCAGATGACGGCAACCTCGACTCCAACCTCCGGCAGTGATGGCTGGAAGTGACGGCGTCTCAGGAAAACTACGGCGACGGTGGTAGCTTTGTCCGGCGGCAACGTCTGCTACTTCTCCGGCGAGTCTCCTTCTCCCTTCCCTCTCTTTCTCTCTTATTTTCCTTTCTTTCTTACTAGTTTTCGGTATTGGGTGAACAAAGAAACGCAGGGGTTAAGAAAATACGTATATAAATGGGCTGGCCGATGATTCTAGCGTTTCCTAGAAGACCATTCGATGATTTGTACCTGACCGCAGCCATCAATGATCATACGTTTACTGCTGCAGCTCGTTATTATTGTCATTACTACGCTACTATGCCGCATGTGTATGTATGTACGCATATCATATTTGTATATGTATTATGTGTGCGTATGGTTTATGTATATATATTAACTATCATTTATTATATTTATATGCATGTATATGTACGTAGGTTGCGTTAGAAGTATATGTGTGTATATTAAATACGTACGATGTATGTATATGCGTATACTATGCATCACAAAAAGTGTGTATGGGTTACACGCATGGTTTGGATCATTATTTTGTGGATTACTACTTGAGCATTTAGCTATATATTATTTTATTATCTTCTACATTCATTTTATTTCCATATATAAATTAAATCTGATTTACTTTTAATTTATTATTATTTTTTGGTTATTATTCTCAACCCTTAACCAGGGACTCTACTCTCCTTCACTTCGTCTACATCTCAGCTCAAAGAGTGGGGGACTCATGATGGAGTATATGGGCCTGGACTCCAGGGCTCACATACTCGGGAGAACAGAAGGTACCACGATCACCTGGTGGGACCCTCGTCGGCCAGATGACCCCCATCGGCCAGAAAGAAGTCTACGCAGAATGTGACCCAGAAGTCGGGAAGAGCCGGGTGACCTCATCGGCCGGGTCTTCATCGGCCATGGCCTCGTCGGCCATAGACAGTCTCCAGAACAGGATTTACACTTAATCTTTTATATGTACTATGTATTCGGCCCATTAGTGGCCCTACTGTAGATGGGCCTCCCAAGCCCAAGACTTGGGAGTCTAGCCCTAATTTTTTCTATAAATACTCCCTCTGGGAGTAGTTGTAAGGGTTCACAAATTCATTAATACAAAGCAATTATAGCACTTCTCTCTCTAGCTCTCACTTCTCTCTAGACTTATAGTCTATCAATATTGATTTTTCTTCATCAATTATAATCAAGCCTAACAAATGATATCTTTTAAATAGAATTATTTAAAACTTTAAAAACTATATAGAACATACTCTTGGTTAAACAATTTTCATAAGAGTATAAAAACTATAAATTTCTCACAAATATAATAACTAAACTCATTGTTTGAAGTTTATTACTCCCTCCGTCCCAAAATGATAGTCCTGTATTTTCTTTTTGGGATGTCTCAAAATGATGGTCATGTTTCTCTTTTTGGAAAGAAAGATGTGGTCCATATCATTTCACTTTATTATACTCAAATCTCAACCACAACTTTTATCTTTTCAACCAATTTATTAAAACTTGTGTCCAAAAGAAATGAGACTATCAAATTGGGACGGAGGGAGTATCATTTATCTAGAAAAATCAATTTGTCAAGTTTTATAGGACAGATGTAGTAATTACTATAAAAATCAATTTTAATTTTCTAGATCAATGGATAACTTATTTTATTTTCTATTGATAGTCATTTTTGGAATTGGTGTTTGCAGTCCAATAGAACTTTTTGTCTAATCTATAGATATATATGTGTATCGTACTATAAAATTTTGGACAAAATTTACTTGGATGTAGAATAATGAATTAAGAATTGTGAGTAGGGTTTATGCATATAAGAGAGGTAAATAACTTTAATCACATACGTAGTATTAATTACTCTAAATGAAATCAATAAAAGTTTTTTGGATGACCTAATATGGAAAGTTTTTAAATTTTTGTGAGACAAATAGAATAACTTTTTATTTCCATCACTAATTTCAAAATTGTTAGGGAATTTTTAATTGTATGCTCAGCCAACGTAACTCTCCCTCATAAAGTACAAGACGCTCGTCCTTCTCTCTAGGGTTGCCGCAAGGTAACCTCTAGCTAGGAGTCATCCGCTATCAGCCTTTGCAGAGGAGCGGGGCCGGGCTGGGGTTATCCGGGCAATTGTTAGAATCGGAGAGTCTTCTCTCTAGCGATCATCTCCCTACGAGTTAGGGTTTTGTTTCTTCCGCTTTTGTCATCGACGAAGAGTGGCCGGTGATCGTTTTCGATTGTGCAAGCAGGCTCGGGACCAGGGATGCAGCGCTATGGTGGTCAGGGCTCGACTTCTGCTATTGTTTCTGGTCGAAGGTCGAGTGTTGACATAGAAAAGGTGGATAAGCTGTGGCGGAGTATGGTTTCGATTCGGCAGCAAGGGATGGCAAAAGAGGATATCGTCATTCAATACAAAAGCATGACTATAGAGGCGGATGAGCGGCGGACACGTCCCCCTCCTGAGCCGCCGCCATGGAGTGCAAGCAAGTCTAGGGTTTGGAAGAAGATGAGTGAACAATGTTTTAATTCATTTTTATTATGTTTGTTTTTTATTTAGAATTGCATGCTGTTTTGTTTTTTTCTTATTTCCTAGCAGAGAGTTTTTAGATTTTAAGTCAGGTGATGAAAAGTCCGGTTTGCTAGTCATTCGCTCAGTTAAGCCCATTACAGGATCAACAAATTTTATTACTTCTACAGAGGTGATATATTCTAAGTCTAGTTTGAGGGCGGACGACATACATAAGTCTTTTAATCGCTTTGTTTACTTCTTTTTCTTTGATTGTATTATCAGTCATGTGATGAAAGTTATTTTGAGTTAATATATTAGTTGAATTTGATGATAAAAAAATGTATGCTCAGCCAGCCTTGTAAATCATTTTTTTAAAAGAGTATCATCTTTAAAAGAGTTAATTCTCTGATTAGGAGTAAAACAAAACAAAAGTGCAAATCTAGGAGTTCAACAGCCCGTGTAGTTCTATAGGGGTAAAATGGAATGAGTTGACCAAAGTACCCTTAATGAATGATGTGAATAATTTAATAATAATATAATAGAAACATAAGTTGAAACCATTGCACAACATCTCTCACGCCCACATTAGCCACAAGTCGCAGCCGACATCACTTGGGATCTGCACCAGTTGTCACCATCAGTCGCCGGTGGATGTCGGCAGACGCCGATGTTAGTCTCCGGCCGCCACTGTAATCTCCACCCTACCGCCACAGATGCCTCCGCCACGAATCACCTATGTTGCTTCCGATCATTGATAACATCGTCTCCATCTCCACCGTCAGATCCCGTGCTACTGTCTCCTCTTCCAGCACTACATGTCTTCTAGCGTCACCACCAGTTCTGAAAAAAGGCTTCAAAATATCATCTCACCATTTGAATACTATATTTATGGGATTTATATGAAAACAGGGGATATAAATCTCAATGTCATTTAGACATTTTTATGACATTATAAATGTTGGATTTGCAAGGTAATAATATTGACATCTCTATGAACTTAGTGTCATACAAATGGCATTATGTGCAAAAATAACATTTTTATATAAGAAAAAACATGTCATTATTGGCATTATTTTTGCCATGTGGAAGGAGTTAGTGCCATAAAATGGCACTAAGTGTCAAAAATAATATTGTCACATAGAAAAACAGAAAATATGGCATTATGATATTGTTCTTGTAAAGTAATATTTTCATTTTAATGCCATAAAAAACTAACGGTTAAAGAAATTTACATTTAAATAATAAAATTAATTTGAAGAGTTACAACAATTTAATTGACATGATCGAATGAAAAAATATCATCTTATTATAAAAGATAAAATAAAAAAGAACAAAGGGTGAAAGAAAAATTGAAAGATTAAAAAAGAGAAGAAACAAGAAAAATTGTTGATAAATTAAATTCGGATCTGGAAAAGGAAAAGGATGTAAAGCACAAATCACATTAAAAATTGGTTAAGTCATTACAAATTAGCAGATTGAAGTTGCAAAAAAGAAATAGATCGATCGAGGCTCTGCCTCTGAGCAAAGGAAAAGAAGGGAGAAGGGAGAAGGGAGAAGGGAAAGAAAAGAAGAAGAGGAGGATGAGGAGAAAAAAGAAGAGGAGATCAAAATTTACTTACCATAATCGTCGTTGTCGGTCAATGGTCTAAGTTGAGGAGAAAAAAACAGTCCAAACCTTGCTTGATTAGTATCGGAGATGAAGAAATTGAAGATGAAATCTGGAATTGAAGATTAAATTTGAAGATGGATGGGGGTTGGGAGGAGAAAAGCCAGGGAGAGAAGAGGAAATAAATGAGAGGGAAGAGGTAGAGGTGTGTGGGTCGAGAAATGTCTACGGGAAGAGGAAAAGAAGTCTGACAGAGAAATTAATTATGGTTAAAGCTAGCCGCAGGAAGGATATGATTGGAATAAGAAACGTTTCATCAATTAATAACTCCTATTGAAGGAATAAATTAACAAGAAGTCTTATTTTGGAACTTTCTTTTTGTTTTAGTCGTATTTAGGTCTATTACTTTCTTTAAAAATATTTAAAATAAACATAGTGGAAAACTTGGGGATGAACTTAATTAGAGAGTAATAAATATCATAGCAAATTGAAAGAAATGGTACAACTTGCTTGATGCTTAGTAAAAACAACATTAAAATTATTATTTGTAAACACACAGATATATATAACCAAACAAAAAATGAAAAGATGGTATAGACATGGAAAACGAGAGATTGACTTGAATGAGGATGTGGCAAGCCTAGTAACATACGCCACTTCAATTCAAAGCGTGTGGTCATACTTCTTCATACCCTGCGAAAACAATTACACACCATTAACCTTAAATCTTCCCTCCTAAACCCCTCCATCATCCTTTGCCTCCTTCGATCCTATACTATTCTCTCACTTATTTAATTTAATGTTTACCATCCAAATAGAAACAAGATGAAAGTTCCTCCTCCTTCTCCTCCTCATCACCATCATTGTTATTATTCCTTCCAGGCTTTCATTCTCATCTCATCTTCTATCTGTGCGGTGTACTTCATTTGTTGCTTCGTCCTCATCCCCAACACCAACTTCCTCTCCTTGTCCTCCTTCCTCCACCCCGCTCTAGTTTCTGAGTGCCGCCATGCCTCCCCATCCCCGACGTCCCTCCGCCACATCGTCTTCGGAATCGCCTCAAACGAGAATTCATGGAAGAGGCGAAAGGAATACGTCAAGCTGTGGTGGAGACCTACAGAGATGAGGGGGTGCGTTTTTCTCGAGCGCAGCAGCAACGCCACGTCGCCGAATAACGACACGGCGTTGCTCCCGCCGGTTTGCGTGTCAGGCGACACGTCGCGTTTCCGCTACACGTACAGGGCGGGGAAAGGGACGCCCTCAGCCATACGAGTGGCACGCGTTGTGTCGGAGACGGTGGCCCTCAACCATTCAGACGTGAGATGGTTTGTGTTCGGGGACGATGACACCGTCTTCTTCCCGGAGAACCTGGTGAAGACGTTGTCGAAGTATGACCACGGCCTGTGGTATTACATCGGGGCTAATTCGGAGAGCCACGCGCAGAACAAGTTCTTCTCTTACGGAATGGCGTTCGGAGGGGCAGGTTTCGCCATTAGCTACCCGCTAGCGAAAGTCCTAGCTGGAGTGTTGGATTCATGCATAGAAAGATATCCGCATCTTTATGGAAGTGATGCTAGGATCCATGCCTGCTTATCTGAGCTTGGCGTGTCATTAACTCTCGAACCCGGATTTCATCAGGTAGTTCTTCAACCGGTTCCATTTCTTTGATAAACAAATATCCCTAGCTTGCTCCATATTTTTCTCAGTTTTCTTGGTTTGACGTTATGACGTAACATTGTAAAATGCATTTATCCTATGTTTTGTTTATTAAATATTCTTCCTTGCAATTGATTAATTACAAAATAAGAACAAATACAGTACAAAATAATTGGATTTGGATTGAGAAGATAGCTACCATCATGTAATGTAATGTTATTATTTGATTATTATTTATTATCATTATTATTGCGTTTTGAATGGCACGGTGTTGAATATGATTAGCTGGATGTTCAAGGGAACGTGTTCGGGTTATTGGCGGCGCATCCGGTGAGGCCTCTGGTTTCTCTGCATCACATGGATGTTCTGTTCTCAATCTTCCCCCACATGACCATTATCAAGGCCCTGCAGCATCTCTACGGCGCCGCCAGCGTGGATCCCCACCGGATCTTGCAGCAGACGGTCTGCTACGACCGGTGGTTCTCCTGGACGGTGTCGGTGTCCTGGGGCTACGCGGTTCAGGTGTTCGGGAACCACGTCCGGCTGCCGGAGGCTCTTCGGGTGCAGCAGAGCTACATGCCTTGGAAGAAGGGCGGAAAGGGCATGCATTACGACTTCGACACCTGGGCATTCCACCCTGATCCCTGCCGGAGGCAACCCATTTTCTTCTATTCAAACGCTTCTTCTTCCGATGGCGGTGGGATCTTGAGCGTGTACAGGAAGATGACCCGTGAGAGATGCAGATTTGACATGGCTTCTCCCAGGAAACTTGATGAAATCAGAGTTCACTCTACCGGGTTGATCCTTGATCGGAATCAGGTATACTTCATCAAATACTGCCTGCCTCCCTTCACATTTACTTACTTCTCACGGTAGATTTTGTGAACAAAATTTTTGAACAAATTTATAAATTACAGAACATGGTCAATAAGCGAGTGAAGTATCTGAGTTCATACTTACACACTTAAAAAGTACGACAAAGAGCAAGAAAATAAGACAAAAACTCAAAAAGTTACGATTTAGACTTAGACCATCTCCGACCGTTTACACCATTTTGTACACATCACATCATACAGTATTTTATCTCCAACAGTTTACACCATTTTCATCACCAAAAAGGAATATTCTCTTTTTATTCTTTTTACTAACTTTTTACCATTCTTCTATTTAAGTATGTAATTATCATATATTTATACATTAGCCCCTCATTTAATATTTTGACATTTCACACATACAAACTAAAATACACCATTTTAATATGTATTTTCACGCATTTCACTAATTAAAATATAATAATCAATATTTCACAAATACAAGCTAAAACCACATAAAATTAAATATTACAATAATATTATAATAATTTGTACGTCATTAATAAAGTACTACTTAAACTTAAAGCAATACATTAAATAAATATTCTTAGTTTAGTTATCGGAATTTGAGAATTGTTCCCACAAATGATCAATTAAAGCATTGTGGAGCTCAATATGAGCTCAATTTGAGAAATGGGTCAAAATTATAAGAATCAAAACTTTGGGTAACATTTGAAATAAAAAAAATTGAAAAAAGAAGATGGTGTATGAAATGGTGTACGCCATATTTGGTGTAAAGCAAAACTCTCTCCACCAAAATGGTGAAATGGTGAAAGAAATGTTGTTGTTGTTGGAGCAAAAATTTGACAAATACACCATTTTGGTGTATGAAATGGTGATTGTTGGAGAAGCTCTTATGGTATCGTGATCTTATGTAAAAAGAAAATTTGTATCTGGGTGTCTTATTTAACATGTCTTGCAAAAAGGTTATTCGCTATATGCTGATGTGCTCTAAAATTGCAGTTACTAGCACCAAGAAGGCAATGCTGCTCCGTGTTACCATCTACATCCGATAAAGTTATGGAGATCAACATTCGAGACTGTAATGAAGATGAGCTAACTTTCTTGCACTAATCCACACCCAAATATTCATATATATATAGAGAGAGAGAAAGAGAGACTGACACACGTTAGAGTACATATGACTATAGTAAATTTAGATGGGATTGGCAGAGGGTCAGCTGCAAAGTATATATAGCAATTCAACACAAAGAGCACATTTTAGCCTTAGAGTTCGAGCACTCCTTTTTGCAAAAACATGTACAATGTGGGAACAATGGTTCTATTGTTATTCTATACTTTTAGAGTGCGTAAATTGAGTTATAGTCATATTGGGTTCCCTCCTCAATTGAGATGGTCATGAGAATTTTATTATAATGCAGAGATCTCTAGAATTCTCTAGAAGTATGTACAGAAGTATTGAATATTCTATTATATTTTGGAACTCTTAAGAGAGGTGTGGAATTCTCTCAAAGCATGTGAAAGTGTGTAGAATATTCTAAAATATTATAAAGTTTTCTAGATAAGTGTGGAATTCTCTAGAATCGTGCGGAAGTGTGTGAAAGCCTGGGGATTAAAAATGTGGAATTCTCTAGATCCTTTCAGGAGATTAGAGAAGCTTGGGGATACCTTTTTTAAAGAATAGAAGTGTAAGTAATGTATAGAAAGTTCTAGAGAAGCCTTAAGAAGAGTAGTATAAATAGAGGTGAAACTCCTCATTCCTATGAGAGTGCCTTGAGGATAGCTCTTAAGAATGTGAGTCTCCTTGAGAGAGAAGAGTGAGAGTTATCTTGTGAGAGACGAGATCCAAGAATGTCTCTTGATGAGGGTAAGTGATGAGTATCCATGGGGTTGAGAAGAGACAATTCAAGAGGGCCCTCTTGGATTGTCTTTTTTTTAAAAAAAAAGAGACAATCCAAGAGGGCTTCTCATAAGAGTATGTCATGTAGAGTGAAATAGTCTCATATACAAAGAGTGAAATGAACTACTTATTGTGAAATATCAGGGCCGTCTATTGGGATGTGCAAGCAGTGCTTCTGCACTGGGCCTCCAAATAATTAAGGCCCATAATTTTTAAAAAACCAGTAGTATATATGTAAGAGAAATATTCTTGTCCGGAATTCCGGACATGAATCGCCGTATGGACGGCGGCGTTTAGGACTCTTTCTGATCGACTTTTTTGATGAAATTTTTATGGCATGTTCTTCATTAAGTCTAGTCTATCCATAAAAAATTCAGCTAAAAGTTCAATCGGTAAGGTCGTCAAATAATTTTCAGAAATTAACTGCGTTTTATATGTGTATTTTGGCACAATTATCTTCCAAAAATTATTTGAGTACCTTATCGATTGAACTTTTAGCTGAATTTTTGTGTGGATGAACTAGACTTGTTGGAGAACATTCCATAAAACTTTAATAAAAAATTTCACCAGGAACGTCCCCAAATGCCGCGGTCCGGATGGCGGTTTTGGTCAGGAATTCCTGACCGGAAGAGTACTCTGTAATTGAAATTCAAGAGCTCAACTAAAACATAGTAGTAGTAAAAAAAAGAACTCAAAGGTCCTTACGTACGTGAATCAAAGCTTGAAAGCCCAAATTTCCATCTCCCAAGCATCAAACCCACAAATTCCACAATAAATGAAAAGAAAGTGGGCTATGCAACAATTCTATTGGCTTATAGTATTCTAGGGTTGGAAAATGGCTAAATCTTCACTCTACAGAGTTCCTGGCCAAGCTTTTCCAATCAATCAAGAAACACAATCGGTGTCACGCCCCAGACCGCAATCTAAGCGCGTGTACAACCGTCGTATAATCAAGTGGCATCACCCGCGGGTCAACCTCACTTAATCATACAAGGCGTTCGAGAAAACAATCCATCCATACTCACTGGTAAACATACATAACAACATCACAAATTAAACCATTGAATAACGGAAGAAGAACCTGACATGAAATGTTTAAATTAGTAATCAATGTGATGGCAACATGAAATGTTGTAACCATTCAAAAGTGTACAATATTGAGCATCACGGGGGGGGGGGGGGGGGGGGGGTATGGCAATATATCACTCTTTAAAACTCTTGAAGCAATGTATGCATTTTTATGTTACTGTAACATTATGTCAATTGTGAGTTATATATTTTAAACCTCTATGTTGCAACGAGAATGTTCAATAAGGATTGTATTGGTGAGTAGGGATGGGCAAAAATACCGAACCAACATGGTACCAGATCGAAAATGGGGTTTGAAACAAACCTCAAAATTTACAAACATTACTTGGAGTAGTGCCTTCGCACTTTCACAGTCTTTGCTAGTTCACTAGAAGTTTGGAACCGTAACGAAGTATAGTTTAATTATTTAAATTTGTACTACTATAGTCTATCTAAAATTTACTCCCCCACCCCACAGTTAAAGTCACAGGTTGACTTTTACGATCTCCTAGGCGGACGTTTGACCGTAACTATCTATTAATATATACCTATATAATCTAATAAATTGACATTTGAATAATACATATTAAATGAGGCACATTAAATAATTTGTTTGGATAAAACATTACTAGTATTATTTTTGAGTAATAAGTGGTCAAAGTTTATAGTTTAATGTCTATTAATTCAGGGACGAATGTAGTATTAATTATGTAATATGAAAAGTGATAAATTGTGTGGATTTTTTTAGGATGACTAAACATTAATGTTCTCTTAAACACTTGGAAAACGTGACATTGTGTGGTATTGGTATGGCATAGTACAGTCCCGTTTGAAAATGGAACCATACCAAACGGGTTTAGGTCTAAGGCCGAACCGAATCGAATCGTTTGAATAGTCATGGTACGCGGGTACGAGTTCGGTGAAATATTGGACCGTACAAGACCGTGCCCACTCCTATGGGTGAGAATGTCGACATAAAACTATTTATCGACTATGTGAATGATCTATTAATCGATCCACCACGTGACTGTATGACTCGATTGTTCACCACAAACTATATACACATCTTCACAATTTAAATTTGATCAAGTAGTTGATTAGTTAGACATTTCTTAAGTACTTAAAAAACTTATCAAGGTTACAATGGTAATAACTAAGGGCATGTTTGGTGATGGCTTTAACGGCTTAAATTTCTGAAATAACTTAAATAGCTGAAAGTGTTGGAGTGAAGGTGTTTGGTAATTTTTGGGCCGGAATAGTTGATTGAATGTGTAATTACCTTAAGGGTATTAGCCTATATATAATTTACCACCCGTGTCTTTTAGAGTCAAGTCCATGGAATACCCCGTCCAAAGGATAGGGGTTCTACAACCGCGTTCACAAGTGTGTGGCATACACGTTTGGGCTATCCAAATGTGGTGATGGCTAGTGGAGTGTGGTAGTTGTCCCCGACCAATTAGTTGGAGTGATCCGTCCAAATCAGATCGGAAATGTAATCTTGACTGATTCGGTTTGAGATGGGGGAATAAGTGTTCCTTTCTTCTCTTGAAGATCTTATGCAGCATGAACGACTCCTCAGATTCATCGCGCCTACTCACGATCGGGCTCGTTGATGAGCACTTTGTCACGGTGCGTCAAAAAATTCGATACTAACACTTATACGTAGTATAGGTGAAGTAGAGTTCGTATCAACAGGGAAAAGAATAATTCTCTTTTTATGAACTAGTAAATAAAGGGGTTTTTTGAGATTGAATGATTTAATTTAAAAACTAAGATGAACGACTTATATGAGATTTTAATTCAAAGATAAAAAGGACTTGGCATTGCTACTCTCCACTTGTTAATATATTTTAGTCGATCATTGTTATATCTATAACTTATTCCCTCTCGAATACTCAATCGGGGAGTATATCCACTTCATCGATGGTAGTTATTAACAACGACCATTCATTAATAACCCTTACTATTAATCAAATATAGAACAACGCCTTATACCGATTTAATAGTAGCATTTAATCTTTCTAACTCCTTGATGAAATCAATTGAGATTGATAACCTCAACACAACGGTTTCGGTTTAACCAACAAAATTAATTCCTCTTAAGTTTATTAACCACAACCGTGCATTAATAAACCGAAGTTACTCACTTGTGAAACCATCAACGATTAACCATCGGTTCGTTGATCGTTTCTAGTCATAATTAATATATGAAACAAAACTAGTTGATCCTTTAAGTAATGTTCAAAATATTAATATGAAATATGAGTAGGAATTAATTAATATTAAAGGTAGAACATTATTAAGGAAGAGGAATCATACTATAATTAATATCAAGATGTTAACTAATTGTCATCTTAGCAACACTCCCCAACATTAATATAGAGGAAGAAAATACTATTCTAACTAATGTCGAGATGTTAACTAATTGTCATCTTAGCAACACTCCCCGACATTAATATAGTGATGGTATTAAGGAAAGAACTATTAATTAATATTCAAGGAAAGAAGTTAAGAAAATAACTCACAACTTTGATAATCAACAAGCTTCAAGAGCAACACCAAGAATGGAAGTTTATCACCTCATTTGGAGACTAAACATAGCTAGAAAAATATAAGAAATGCTATTCTAAACTGAGCTTAGGAGTATAGAAGAAGGGATTATTTTTAAAGAAGAAAAAGAGTGCTATTTATAGGTGTTTTTCAACACCTTTGGCCGGGTATCCGACCGGGTCAAGTACTTACCCGACCGGGTCCGGTCAAAATCAGATAATTCACCACGTTCTGGTGATCTTCGCACACCGGGTTGTCCCCGGTCACTTCTCACCCGACCGGGTGAGGTATGGGGCCCGACCGGGTCCAGCTCTTACCTCAGCAGTTCGGTTTTCAAATCAGACCCGACCGGGTGAAGTTTTCTACCCGGTCGGGTATTTTCTCCTGGACAGTCAAAATTCCTTTTTCTTCACTTCAACATCCTCCTTTTCAACATCCTAATTCCTAATTCTACTTTACAACTTACAAATGAGAACTAAAATAGAATTACAACTAAAATCACACAAATGTTTACAAACTAAATAAAACGTCAAACAATCACCATCAATCAAACATAAAAACATATAATTATGCACTACTAATTAGTGTGCATCACTCGTCTATTCCTAAATCTGGGATGGTGACCGTCGTATTATGCAGCATGAACGACTCCACAGCGTCATCGTGCCTACTTATCGGAGGCTCCAAGTTATTTGTATTATGTAAATGGTGAGGAGAGTATTAATGAGAAAGAGCGGGCTTGGACGTTAGCCTAAAAAGTCCCGTGATTTTCTCCCTTTCGGGTTTCCACGTAAAAATTGAGATTTACATCAAATTATATCTATATCTATGAGTTTATGTTGGACTAAACTCAACACAACTGTTGTGCCAAGAATCTGAAGTAGCCGAGCAGAAATGTTTTCACCAAACGTGAGAAGAAGGAAGTTCTGAAATGAAAGAAGAAAGTGGGAGTGGTGATAAAAAGAAGCGATAAAATTGTCTTTTACTAACTTAACAGTAACAAAAATAGATTTAAGGCAAAGAAGTAACCAAGAGCTTACTTTTTCAGTTGATAATAAAAACCAGCTCAATCAGGTAACTTGGTAAGTGTTTGGTAATAATGATGGATTTTGAGGCTTATCAACGTATTGTTGCTCCTCGAAATAATAACGACGACAACAACAATAATAACAATAACAACAATAACAATAATAACAATAATAACAATGACAATGACAATGACAATGACAATGACAATGACAACGACAACAACGACAATAACAACGACAATAACAATAACAATAACAATAACAATAACAATAACAACAACAACAACAACAATAATAATAATAATAATAGTAATAATAATAAATCACAATATTGAAGTTCCCACATTCCAATTCGGAAAATTTGACTTGGTATCTCATAGTTTGGGTAAAATTGATCTTTACATCTTATTTTTAGATAATTTAGAGCTCGTTTGGTGACCCCTTTTTTCGGCTTATCATGCTTAACAGGCTTATCAGCCAGCTTTTTTACCAAACACATAATTTTTGGTTTCGCGCGCTAAATTATGTAATAAGCAGAAAAAGTAAGGTTGGAGTTACTTTTCTGGCTGTATTGGCTGAAGATACTGTAGAAGATCATTTTAACTATTTTTTCATATAATTTTTTATTTTATTTTATTTTATTTTTGAAAGGGAAACAACTATAATGATATCATTAGAATTAGGATCGTTACAACAATCTCAAAATGACCAGAACTGGCAACAACATTCACCTTCCAACTACTACTTTTAGCCCCATGATTAGACATAGAGACGACTATCCCTAAAGGTGCAATACGAATCGCTAATCACCAGACGGGCTTAATGCAACTATTGCTGAAAAATAGATCTGTCCCCCAGTAACCATATCAAATATAGCTGAACTCTCAATCAATGTAAAAAACCTATTACCATAAGCAAATACCAAAAGTAAAACGATAACAATGAATTTCTTCAAAAACAGACTAAAAATGGGGACAATGAATTTAAGCAGGATGAACTTATTGAGCCGTTGAACCCAATCTTCTAGCGCGATGTTCCGACCCCTAATCACCCATTTCCAGTATGGAGGCGGTTCAGGAGGGGACATATATTTATCCCTTTATCTTCTTCCTTCAACACCCTGATCTGCCTGTGATTCGCCTCCATCTCTTGGACAACATACCGCACGAGCACAACCAGTCCAAACGCGAACAGTCTCCAGATCCCTATCATCTCCCCTGTGCTGCTGCAATTGAGATTCGCCAAGACCCTCCGATCCCGAATGATCCCACACCCCACCCTATGCTCCAGATGAGGAAAGCTAGCAAAACTCCGGGACACTGAAGCACCAAGAAAGCTATAGCGCCGTCCGCCGAAAACCTAGACTCGCAAGGATCGCCGCCGCCGTGAACCTAAGCCATTCACCACTCCGAAGCAATGAGGGAAACCCAATAACTGCGACTTGATGTGCCTATGCCGCCGAACTTCGATCGGACTTCAAAGTTCAAACCCTAAAAAGGTAAGGCACATCGCCTCACGTCCTTTTATTTTATTTATGAATAACAAATATTTAAAATATTTTTTTTATAAATCAACAGAATCAGCCAATACATCAACTTTAACGAGAACTTAATAAATTTCAACGAAATCAAGCAACTAAACCGATTTTAGTATTATCAAACGAGCTCTTTGCCGAGGGTGTACCTCATTGTTTCACAAAGTTTACTTTGCACCGCATTCCTTTTTCTAGAAATGAGATGGTAAGTCAAATATTACCCAAACTATGGGTGCAAAGTGAAATTTCCCAAAAAAAAAATCTCCACACATACAGAACCCCTGTAGAGAGGCGCATCCCATGATCCCAATCATCATCACCATTACAAAGAATAACAAGAAAGTGAATCGACTGAAAACGAGACTACAGCTATGGACCAAATGCAATACGTAGTACTCCTTCCTACTCTAACTAAGAATGGACAGGACCTGAGGCCACCAAAGCTGCGCTGGGAGGGCTCAATGATGGCGGCCTAGCCGAGACAGACTGAGATTGGGGAGGTGGAGGTGTCGAGGCCTGGAATTGAGGGGAAGGAGGAGTAAAATTGGGATTGTTCAGGCTAGGATTTAAACTTCCCGGCGGCGGTGGCGGCTGTGCAGAGGACGACGGGCCGTTGTTTGGCGGGACACTACCAGAATTTGTGTTGGGGAAAGCAGAAATGGGATTGATTTGGGAATTAGGGTTCGCGGTGAGGTCGCAAGAATCGGCGTAGCAAGAGGTATTGTCGGCATCCTTGTGATTGCGATGTTTCGTGAGAAAGCCGCGGAGCCCCAAGAGAAGGCCAGTCACTACCAGAAGAGTGACAATGAAGATGAAGATCTTGGTCGCTTTCCCTATGTAGCAGCACATCATATCGCCCTCTGTTTTCCCGGATTTTGTAAGCTACAGACAGATAGATCACCTCTGCATATGCCTTTTGTCTCTGTTGATTTTTTCTTTCAGATTTTTGGTTTCTTTCTTTCCATGGGAGATCACAGGATGGAATGACTGGCTTGAAGTACTTGAGAATTGAGATGAGATTTGGGGGAGTGTGGGGGGGTTTCTGGTTGGTCGGCAGAGGTTACAATGGTGAGCATGTGATGAAGCAAACGCAGGCCTGTTGGGAACTTAAACACATCTTTTTTCAAGTTAAAAATGAATTACTGCTCCCCAAGTATTTGGCACAAAGCGAATTTTCTAAAACAAAATCAAAAGAATTCTAGCCCTGTGATCTGATGGATAGTTAAATTTTGACAAAATACCTTATACACATATCCCGGGTACACATTTTTTGGGGTATACACGTTTACGCATTGTCTGTGCATGCATTTTTTGTTTGTACAGACAAAAAAATGCATGCACAGACAATGCGTAAAAGTGTGTCGCAATATTATTTTTGTTCCCTATTTTACGCTTGCTGCACATAGTCACATGTCATGTAACTCACGTGCACCCACTGCAAAATGGATTTACACTTTCACTTTCACCTCTATACTTTGTCTTGCTATGTCTTTCAAGTTGGACGATGTAATTTCCACTTTTATCACAAGTTGACAGATAGTGAATGAGGTTTTGGTTCAAGTATTTGCAGAAGTTCTATGCATTTTTACATAGTAATTTATCATACCATTTGGAACCATCTACAACATTTATGAGGCCCTAGACAATGGAGTAGATGTTTCATATAAATATGTATTATTCAACACCATATACAACTCTATATTAATGTAAGGAGAGTACTTCTTCAAAAAACAAAGAGAATATATCATTAACATGGAAAATTTTATTAATTATATATCAGTAAGTAAAAGTTGAAGGACTAAAATCAAAAACATTCAAAAGTCGCAAAATTAAATCTAAAATTTTCTTCAAATGTAAGTTTAAAGTTACTCCCTCCACCCCTGTAATTGTCTCATTTTTCATTTTTGGATGTTCCTCTATTAGTGTCTCATATCATATTTGGTAATATTTGTTTGGCTCTAATTCATTATTACTTTATTCCCTATTTATCAACTCATTATCAACCACATAATTCTATTTTTTCTTAAAAATCACATCACTCTCTTCCGTCCCAATATTAGGGGGACTGAGGTAGTATTTAACTTTCATAAGGATAATGAGAGTAAATGATGATTTTCTTAAACTTTAAAAACAAAGTATAGAGCTGATGGGCCAAGATCAGCTGGCAGATAGAGGATGACACAAGAGGTAAGTCTCGGATTTGAAACCTAGCAACTGCGATCATAGGCGGCCATGGGAGCAGTCCACCTAGACAAGGTCTCTAGGTGTGCATGATGTGCGTATCATACAGCTCTTTCAAAAGGTCTCTTGGACTACTAAGAATACAAAATCATATGTAGTATTATATATGATAATAATAGTAATAAATATTGTATTTTTCCTACCGAGCCTAATACACACTTTATCAGTATGTATTTACGGCCAAAATGAGCATTAGTTTTAGGGTATCTTACTATCTCGATCAGTATCACTTATATAGTAGTTATGTATTAATGTGTATATTTTTATTGAATAATCACAACTAATAACTTTATTTATTGTTATGTATATATGTATATTAGTTTCTATTTTATTTAAATTTTTATAACTAATCACTTTATGTATTAGTGTATGAAATTTTAAACGGGCCCGGATCCTTAACGGGTCAGAATCATATGTACCATATCCGACCCGTTTATTTAAAATACTAACGGGTCCAGATCCGGGTCCGGGTAAACAGAACAAAATATAGACCTGTACCCATTAAAAACAACCAAGTCCGGGTCGGGTCCGGGTCTAGACCCGACCCATTGACATGCCTAGTTCCCAGTAGAGTTTTTAATGTTCAAATTTTACTGGGAACATGTTCTTCATGAAGTGTAGATTATGTCTACAAAATTTTAGTTCAAATTTCGATCAAGAGGTCAGTTAAAAAAATAATTGAAAAACACTGATGAGTTTAATAAATATTTTTTGCATAATTGTTTTTCAATAATTTATTTAACTGAATTTCCGATCAAATTTTAAGATGAAACTTTGTGGACATAATTTAAGTTTCATGTAGAACATGCTGAAAATATTTCATCAAAAAGCTCTACCGAGAACCACCTCAAATTGTGGCGGCCAGACGGTTTTGGTCAAGAAATTCTGACCAGAAGATTACTCTCTCTCTCTCTCACACACACACATTTCAGTTTCATCTAACGTACATTTTAGTTTCACCTAATGCAAAATTCATCTTCTCATAATGTCACTGTGTCATACCTTGTGTGATGCGCATTTAAACTTCACCTAAATCAAATTTCAGTTTCACCTAATGCACATTCAATTTCAAACAGGAGCAAAGCCAGAATTTAGTCATAAGCGACCAAGAAGAAACAAAAACAATAAAGAGAAAATTACCTGAATAGGACTAAAACAAAATTAAAGTTCATAAATAGGATTATCATTGTTTTATTCTCAAAATAGGACTTATTCTCTTCTATTATGGTAAACTTTGATCAAATTATTTCTAATAGGACTAAATAAGATACTACGTATATTTAATTGACTTACTCATTGAATTTTAAACTGAAATTTGATGGTAATCTACGCTTCATGAAAAACGTGCTCACAAATTTTATCAAAACATTCTACCTGGAAGCATCTCAAATGGAGGCTTCTATCAGGTAATTATGACCCGGTATTTTCCGATTATTTCATATCTAATACTAGCACTATTATAAAATAAAAAAGTTGGAGGGAGGGCAAGGTCCCCTACCCATATACCTACCTATGCCCCTGGTTTGCAATCTAACAGTCCAGATTCATTCTCATTTCTTTACTAAGATCATTTTCTCATTGTCTGTATATATGAATATGTTGCAACTTATTAAATATTGCAACACAGTTTCTGATAGAGTATATCTAGAGAGAAGTGAGAGCTAGAGAGAGAAGTGCAATAATATGCTTCAATAGAATGATTTTGTAACCCCTATAACAACTCCCAAGGGGAGTATTTATAGAGAAAATACGGGCTGGGCTCCCAAGCCTTGGGCTCGGGAGGCCCATTTACAACTGGACCGCTACTGGGCCGAATACAAAGCCACTAATGGGTTGTACAAATAAGTAAGTGTAAAATCCGGTTCTGTGAGGTCTTCGTGGCCGACGAGGGCGTGGCCGACGAGGGCACGGCCGACGAGGGCACCCGGGTTCCTTGGCTTCAGGACCACAATCTGAGTTGGCACCTTTCCGGCCAACGGGGGTCCCTTGGCCGACGAGGGCACCACTCAGTGTCTTGTGCTTTCTGTTCTTCTGAGTATGTGGGTCCGGGGGCTCAGACCCATATACTCCATCAGGAGTCCCCCACTCTCTAAGCTGAGATGTAGACGAAGTGAAGGAGAGTAGATTCCCGTGCTTTGGTGTTTTTGGCCGATGCGGGCCTTCCCAGGCCGTTAGCTGTTGCGGCGTTGACGCTGTTTCCATTTTGGTGATCATGTTCTGTGCTTTGGCCGTTACCTGCTCCTCGCTGTGGGCGGGGAGGCCGTTGTTTCCTTGATGTGTTCGTTTGGGGACGATGAGTGTCCTGCTTCAATGGTGGCCGTTGAAGGCGCGCTTTCCCTTTCTTGGACGTTGATGGTTGAAGTTTACATTTGGGCCGACGAGGCCACTGAGGTTGAACCTTGTTTCGAGGACGATGGCGTCCTTTCCTTTGGGTGGCCGATGAGGGTGTTCGCGCACTCCTTTTGGCCGTCGCTGATTGGCTTTCGTGTTCTTGGCCGAAGAGCCCCTTATGGTTAACTGTTGGCAGGGGATGATGAATGTCCTTGCATTGGGTGGCCTGTTGGCCGTTGTTGATGATGTTATGTGCCTCTGGCCGATGAGGCGTCGTTGTGATGCATGGACGATGTGGCCATGCTTTGTGGTTACATTCATGTTCTTTGCATTGTTCCTTTTTGTTTTGTTGAGGCCGGTGTAGTCCCCCAGTCCCCCACTGCTTCAAGCCGAAGAGTGTGAGGGGTGAAGGAGTCGTTTTAGTTCCTGGCCGAAGCGGCCTCTCCGTAGTGCCCCTGAATCCAACCCTCATGGCGATTTTCTGGCCAAGGTAACCCTGTGGGAGAACCCTTGTGCACAGATCGCTTGTAAAGAGTTATCATCAAGGGTCGTTACGAGGGGCCGATGGCCGTGGGTTCTTTGTTCCTTTGGTTCTGTGGCCGTTACGGGCGTTCATTACGTTCCTGGCCGTTGCCATCTCCTTATTGTTGGCGTTTGTGAACTTAGCACGCAAAAAGGCCGTTGTGGGCGCTTGCTGGCACTTGTGAAGCCGACAGGCGTATAGGCCGTAGAGTCTGTTTTTCCAGTGGGCTCTTGGTATGCAGGTTGGGCCTGGCCCTTTGGTGACGTGGTGGCCTCCCATTGGTGGCCGTTGATGTGGCCATTGGGAGGGTGCCACGTGTAGTGACCGTTGGGTGGGGGGTTCTATAAATACCCCTCCCCTCCGACGAGAAACCTTATTTGCATTCTGAGTTGTCGAAGTGCTGGCCAAATTTCTAGAGAGATAAACTCCCAAGCTCGTTCTTCGTGTTCTTCGTGTTCAAGGTTAGTGTTCATCGCAATCTTCTGTACTTTGCATACTTTGCTTCCTAGGCTAGTGATCTAGTGTTAGGCGCTTGAACACCCTTAGATCCTAAGTTATTCCCCTCAGGCTCGTAGTAGTTGTTATGATGAAGAGCTTGAACGAAGACTACTATCCGTACGACGACCAGCCCTCCACTAGGTCACTCGACTATGAGGTGCTTGAGGAGTTCGAGGAGGAGATACAACACTTAAGTCCTTACAAGTCCGGAGAGCCGGTGGACGACGAAGTTGAGGACGAGGAGTCCGCCTCGTCTTCAAAAGGTGAGGACGCAGGTGCGTCCCGAGTGGTGGACGGGGCGTCCACTTCCGCTGTCATTCCATGCCCGAGACCAGTGTCTGCCGTGAAGGGAGCAGATAAGCCGAAGAGAATAAGGAGGCCGAAGAGTGGGCCGGGCATCTCCTACCTGGATCTCACAAACATCTTCCTGATCAAACCGGAGAGCAGCGCGGCCGACTACTTGGTTG